CGTGTTGATCGATATACTAGATCTAATATCTATTTTAGATGCCCACAATAACTTTGTCGCTCAAGATATGCCACAGGATCACTAGAAGGTGACACCGCAAACACGGAGGCTCAACAAGTGATAAGGGGCCCGTGCACTAAACTAAAGTGGTATGAGGTCTCACCCCTGCATTCGGAGATCCATCTGTAAGTCAATTAATTCTGTTAATGAAAGAATTAAAGATTTACAGTCTATAGTTAAAGTTGTTTCCGGGGTTTGGGACCTCGTATGTAGACTTGGTTAAACCAGTCCTTGTGGTAGTCACTGTAGCAAACAGTAACAAAGCATTATAAAGGTATCAGTATCAGCCAACTGGAGAACACTAATACAATAAATAAGTGTACGACAACTTCAACAAATCATAATATCTATCAAACTTTTAAACACAAAGGTGTAAATCGTAAAAAGAAGAGTTGTGCAACTATATATATCTGAGTGTTCTATCACTTGTAAAGCTCACGTGAAAGGTATTTGCAATGCGCCTTAATGCTCTGTAATGACTAAACGACAGAGTCCCTCTATTATTTCATAAATCCTTAAAACTAAGTAATAAACCATTAAATTTGGTAATTTGGAAACATATTTAGAAATGAAATGAAATGAATGTAGTTTATCGTCCTGCTTTTCTGCACCTTGTGGGCTAATAAAGACGGGCAACGCCATACAGGGTTCGATGAGAAAAATTTTGCCAGGGCAGCGGCATTGACCTGCTCTTTTTCAATTTCCAACTGTCGAGGGATCTTTATGGTCTCGGTTTATTGTCCCACCGAACGACTATAGACGCTTTTCCATATAAGTTCCTCTTACCCGCATCACTTACAGAGGGAAAGCGGGTTGAAAAATCCGAAGGTATTGTTTTGACCTATGCCGGGGTCGAACTTCTGGTTAGCGAGCAAGCGTCTAACTCACTGAGCCACCGCGGCTCCCGAAACACGCGTTATAATTTATTTGTTTTATTGATATATCTTCTCTATTATATAGAGATTCTATATCTTTAGTCATAGCACCTGTTGAATATATACTCTTATGAACCAATTTTGAGACTTTTCATTTCATACGCATTCTAGGAGGAGGTATTCCTTTAAGGATAGCCTATATTGATTATAGAGGTGACAAAACCAGATAGCTACAGCCTCTGAATGACTTTATGCATGTTGGTAAAGGAGTGGGACTATTTGAGACGGACGGACTGGAAGACAGGACACTCGTAAAGCTCAGTTGTAACCCTTGCTAAAAATGATTAGTATTAATGCTCAATTGTTGAATCTAAAAAAAAATACCAAAAGAGACTAATACTTACATGCAGTCTCACTCAGATACCATCTTGATTTAGCATAGAACTCGGCCAGTGCAGACGGTTGACAAATCAACAGCACGAGTAAATCAGCTACACTCAAACTCACTAGGTAGTAGTTCATCGGTGACCTCATGTCCTTGACCTTTACCACTACTATAATGACCATGACATTGCCTATGACACCAACCAATAGAATGATAGCATTGATAGTTGTAACGTATATAAGCATATAGTAGGGAATATCAGGAGCAATCTGGTCGGTCAAATTTCCGGTCTCGTTGAAATTTAATTCTGCACAAGAATTATCCACGAGGTTATTCAGGTCACACGGAGTTGACGTCGTCATCTTTATTACTTCCGGTTAAGGTTACGATGACATACTTTCAATATCTACTGTTGGTACTACATCTACTTCCGGTTATACCACTGTGTTCTATTCTGAGTTTAGTTTATCCGGTTAATCGAAGATTTAAATAATACTCCAACTTAAAAAATCTGAATTGTTATCAAAAATATCCAATTGTGTAGGACTGTCTATAGTTTTTTTTGTTTGTGTGGATTTTAGACTCTCTGATAGAAAATATCACAAGCACTAATCAGTAAAATATTATGTTTGGCATAAAACCACTCCACAGTAATACAACGTAAACTCCAGGATGCCAACACCGCCACTAATTCCAATCACTGAAGGTATAAAGAAGTATATGTATTAGAAATATAGATATACTAATTCTTGATTCATCAAATCAACCATTTAGATGCTCATACAGACAGCTTATCAATGGAATGAATCTAATTAGGTGTAGCACTCGCTTGATCTTCCAATCAATCACTATAACCCGTTAATTCGTTCTTTCCCACAGTTATACTGTTCCTTTATTACATAAATCCTAAATATTCAAATATTTCTTACTTGGAGCATATACTCTTGTCAAAATCGTGTTAAATGTTTAGAAATTCGTTTCACGCATATAGGTATGATGTGTCATCACAAATAATGCATTAAATTATAAACAATAATAAATTAATACAAAATCTGAAATATGAGTTTCAAGCTGCTGTCTACGCTTAATACACGCTGTTAATAATGTATTAAAAACTTTTTAAACTGCTATTTCTATATTGCTGTAAATTGATATATTGAGCACCATTTTAAGCAGTAGTATTTCTATATCGCACTACAATTGATGTATTGAGCACTATTTTAACAGTGGTATTTCTATATTGCTCTAAAATTGGTGTATTGAGCACTATTTTAACAGTAGTATTTCTATATTGCTCTACAATTGATGTAGTGAACACTATTTTAACAGTGGTATTTCTATATCGCACTACAATTGGTGTATTGAGCACTATTTTAACAGTGGTATTTCTATATCACTCTACAATTGATGTATTAAGCACTATTTAAACAGTGGTATTTCTATATCGCTCTAATTGATGTATTAAGCACTATTTAAACAGTGGTATTTCTATATCGCTCTACAATTGATGTATTGAGGACTATTTTAACAGTGGTATTTCTATATTGCTCTATAATTGATGTATTGAGCATTATTTTAACAGTGGTGTTTCTATATCTCTCTACAATTGATGTATTGAGCATTATTTTAACAGTGGTATTTCTATATCTCTCTACAATTGATGTATTGAGCACTATTTTAACAGTGGTATTTCTATATCACTCAATTGATGTATTGAGAACTATTTAAATATTGCTTGACGATTAATTTCTTGAATACACTTTTAACAGTGGTGTATAGAGAAGTATTTCAGTGGTGTTTTTTTCTATATCACTCTGTAAGTAAATATTAAACACTAATATATGAGTGGAAAATCAAATCGTATTATTGTATCATGCATAAGTCAAAACCACATGTTCACGAGACAGAATTTCTTTAGAATATAGATTTACGACGGTAAACAAAACAGATGCTTCAGCACCTCGTCTGTGTTTTCACTTTGTTGATCTCGAAATCATTAAGGTGTTGACTGCTACCTGTAAATAAAAACAATTTTATTATTTCAATTTACCTAGATTGTTTGAAGGGCCTGGCGCCTTTACTTCAACATGTATGGCTATTAATTGTAGTAAAAGGGCGGACCGGAGGTCATAAATGTTTGGGTTCTTTTTTTTCACAAAAGTCAAATTTTCCGTAATATGTCATGATAGCTTGACGCTCTTCTGAGTCTTTACCTGATTAATTATTACATTCCATCAATCTTGCTCGACGTATTTTTGTCGTATGCTTAATTCTAAATTTATGTTATATAAAAAAAAAACTTTTCTGGAAAACAGGTTCTAGAATATAGTCCTAACAATATAATATGAAGATTTCTTAAGTGGTTTATAACCGGAAGGTCAAGGTTATAACCCGAGGGGTCCCTGTGTGCTGCAGGCTGTGCACGTTAAAGATCCTTAGACTGTTGAAGATGGAAAATAGTAGGCTGATGCCACTGTCTGGGCAAAATTTCCCTTATTGCACACTACATGGTGTAACATTGTTGTCGCCCGTCTTCATTAGCCCAAATGGTGAAGGAAATAGGACGTAAAACTCTATTCATTTCATTTTTATTCCTAAGTGGTTTAATTAATGACTAATGGGCTTATATTGAACAATACTGTAACAATAATGAAAGATCGTGGATCTGAAGAAGCACTTAGACAATCTTAATAAGTTAATTGAGATTTATAGAGGTTTTCTGAACTTTTTATTTGTATTGTGGACACTAATAGCATTTTCAGTCAGACGTCTGTTATTCCTGCAATTCGAGTAAAACTATGCGTTTTATGACGCTATCGCAAAAACTGTTCATAATATCTAAGGGCCTTTAGAATTTGAGTGGAATTGCAACAAGTCATCTGAAATTGGAATGGTACAAATCGATGCTATCGGTGTCCCTGATACACATGATAAATTAAGAATTTACAATCTCTTTCAAGTGTTAGCAATACAGTAAGAATAATGTAACCTCGGGGATGTGAAGAAACACTAGGAGAGTGTTAACTAGTTAAAGTGTTTCTGGTTACAGAGTCTAAGTTACTACGGGGGTTAACCCTTTAAGACTACTGTACGTAATATTACGTACTAAAATAAAAAGCCGTTCCGACTACAGTACGTAATATTACGTACAACGGCATTTGCGGTAAAATCTTCGAAAATTACGTTACATTGGTAAAGAATTAATTGTGTTCTTGGAAAAGGAGTTATTCCCCTTTGGTAAACAATCAAAATGGCCGCCTGCTGTCAATTCTTTTTGTTTTTTTTTGTAAATAATGGCCAAAAGATCGGCCTCGGCCATTGTTAATGATCCTTCATTTTGGGAATCTGGTGACGATGAATCAATTGATCGTGACAGCGATGTAGAAGACGCTGATTTTATTATTCCCATTGATGAAAACTCTTCCGATTCCGATAATGATTCTACTGCCGATTTTGACAGTTCAACAAGTAGGCCTGGAAGTAAGCCCGATGGCCATGATGATGTAAATTTTGCTGTCGGTATTCTGACCGAAAATGCCAGTGAAAATGAAATTGATGAAACTGAATATGAAGTTGAAGTAAATAGAGGTATTATTCCTGAATTTCCTGCACAAAACAGACAACAATGGACACAGAATATTCACAACCCCCCTGATATCAGATTTTCACAAACTGTTGGTGTAAATAATTTTGATGAAGTTTCAAGGAAGTCAGAAGTAGAACTTTTTTATCTTTTTTTCACTGATTACCTTCTTCGTGACATAGTGATAGAAACAAACAGATATGCTTCTCAGTGTAGGCAACAACCCCCAAGAAAAGGTGAAACCATCCCGAATGGAAAGACCTCACTGTTCCAGAATTCAAGGCTTGGATTGGTCTCGTTTTGGCATCGGGAATTGTACAGAAGAAGGGACGCCTTGCAGATTATTGGGCAAAACATTGGTTGTTGCAAACACCAGGCTTCAACAAAACCATGACAAGTAGACGTTTCTTACAAATACTAGCATACTTCCATTTTGTTGACAATAT